TTCGCCTGGGGCGGCGAAAAAGCCAGAGCCGGCCCTGTTTGCTGCCATTTAAATTATGCATTTTTAGAGACATGAATATGGTATCATGCAATGTTGCAATAGGTTTATGGCAAAGATAAAAGCTTTTAGAAAATAGGACTGAGACAAACAACAAGTGTTATTCTATATCACGGGTCTGAGTATCCCCTGGCAACACCTACTGAGGAAAAAATCTCTCTGAACATATAGGCTTTTACTTTTTTATTTGATAGTTTCAGGTCACACAGCCCCTAAGATTCTTTCCAGGTGTATAATAAGTAAAAGAATAATAAAAATACAGAAGTAACTGTAAAAAGATGAGAAAAATCATTTGTACTAGTAGATAGCTTTTTAAAACTACACTGCAAATCATCTCAACAATTCATCTATACATCACATTGCTGAAATTAATAATTTCAATTAACTGCTTACATTCTTTTGTTTTCTGAAAATGCTCAAATTTCTTTCAACTGTGCACAGAAATACAATATTAATAGATTCTTCAGGAATTCATTGTTCAGATCTTTTAGATTCATGCAATCAGTCACTTACCAGTTTCATAAAACTGGTGGAAAATTGGCTAATCATGTTGAAACTAGAGTAGACAATTCTGAGCTGCACTGTGGCATGTTTATTGCAAATAATTGTTAGTGATCCTATAGAAAAGATTACAGTGCTGTGAAAGATATTACCCAACACAGATCAGCGTATGCAACACTATACCTTCTACTGGAAAACTTCCAGGCAAAATCAATAGTGGTTTAGATTTTCTGAAGCCAGCAGTAATGTGGAATTGTTAATGTCATCCATTCAGCGCAATACATATAACAGAGGGCAGTTATATCCTCCTGACTAAGAGATGATAAAGGTAACTCAGGAGGTATAGAGATGATAGAAAATAAAGTTCTAAATAACATTACACACATTGAAATATTCTGAGTAGTAAAATAAATAGTAATAAACGGTAGTAAAATTGAATTATGCCAATAGTTAACATTTTTTTAAAAGCTCACTCTATAACATTAATAAAATATCTAAATGGATAATATGTATATTTCTGCAATCAGATCTGCACAGACCAACATTTGTGTGTTTGTGGATCAGACTGCTAAACTGTGGCCTAAATTTCCTATGAAAACAATTTAGATTGGCTTCTGGTTACTGCAGGTGAATGCAATTTGATGCTCAAAAAAAAGACATGTCAAAAGTGTAGAATAAAATTATGATAATTACAAAATATATATTATATATACAGGTCTCTGTTCTTGATATACAAGAATGGTAAAAGAATGAGAATGATGATAAACAAATAGAATATATAACTACATATTAGAGATTTTTGTTTATTTATATGACAATATCATGAATATTTACATTCTTTTGCATTGGTGAAAGTAGCCACAAAATCTTTTACTAGCACCTATCTATTTAAACAAACAAAAAAAAAGAATAAAGAGAATTCACTACAGAATACAAAAGTTAGATACTTTCCAGTTGCCTTTATGTATAATAGCAATAATAATATAATTACCCCAAAATGATGAATGAAAGGATCAATCATGTTTTTCAAACGTAAATGTGGGTCCTTTTAAAGAGAGTGTATTTTTCATAGTGATTCCCATTAACTGTCATTTTTAACAATTGATGTTTTAAGCTTCCTTCCTTCCTTTAGAGGTTTTTTTCCCCTTTACCTCCATTTTCCATTCTTTGTTCCTTTATGTGCTTTATGTTGGTGATAACCATAATTAATAATCAGGACTAGTTGCTGCTTCATTTTTCATGAAACAAAATCATTGAGCACAAAGAATGTTACATGTGTCTTCAAAAAAGCTCTCTTTCCCATTCTTTAACAGAAGATAATGTGTTCATGTTTTGCATTTGCCTTTAAACACAGGTATCTAAAATGCTTAGTACCTGATCATTTCATATCTGAACAACATATTTAAGTTATATTTTGTACTTTCAAATAATTGCTTTCAGATTTATTCCCATTGAGTGCTGGTGACACCCAGCAGTCAGAAATATTTTACAGATGCTGTCTTCATGACATTCAACTCATGCCTCATCTCCATTATCCCTGATGTAATGTGGTATTTTTGGCTTCAGGAACATAATCCATGACTGCTATCTCCTGTCTGCAAAATAAATAAATAAATAAAACATTACAATACGCCTAAACCCAGTTGTCTATGCTACTTAATAGCTATTTCAGTTGACTTTAGCTGGCAAATCCTTTATATCAAACAATTCCTTTCTTCATCCCCTTATAAATACATTTTGTTATACTTCTGGGTGATTATGAACTACTACTCAGGGATCAAACTGATAGAAGGAAAATGCAGAGGAACAAACCACTTCAGCCACTTTTCTTCCAGCTATCTATCTAGGTGATGAACTGGCTCTCGTTGTGATAGTATCTGAGCACCTCATGATTATTAATGGATTTCATCTTCATAACACCCATGTGAGGTTAGGCAGTACTATCCTCATTTTACAATGGAGAACTGAGCTACTGTGTAGATTAAGTGATTTGTTCAAGCTTGCTCATTCTAAATAAGATCACATGATAAGTCTTTGGCTGATCCAGGAATTGAATCCACGCCACTTGAATCCCAGTGCAGGGCCCTGTCCACTAGACCATCTGTCCTTTTAAGCCCTGCATGTGAGCACCATCACCACAAATCCTCACCACTACAACTCTCAGTAGCAGAGAACTGTGAGCTAGCTGTGCAGAGAGCTCACCCCTTGGCTTTGAGTGGTCCAGGATCTTGAGAACAGAGAGTGTGAGGAAAAGAAGAGAGAGAGAGAAGGGGGAACTAGAGACGGACAAAAAGAGAAATGTGGTAATTGCAATGAGAAGTGATACAGAGAATATGGCAGATATTGTGGGGTTGAAGAGGTCAGTGAGCAGTTTGCAGAAGGGGGTGAAATGTATTCAGAAAGCAGAGTAATATAGGCTGAGGGCCTAATCAATCTCTCACTCCTCAATCACCTCCTCATCCCCAAGCAAGTGAGTAGCTCCAGTGCAGTTAGTAGGAGTTATTTGTATGTTGTGAAGGAAGAAGAGGTCCAACAGAATTGAAACGGTTGTTAAAAAATTCAAAGGAAACATTTCAATTTGGATTTTGTTTAGATGTATATCTGGCATTGCATACACAGGTTAGACATTGCTTTTCAGCATACAGTCACAATAGAAAGCAGCATATCTGTACTAACCACAATTCAGTCTTGGAGCAACTATCAACTAAATTAGGCCTCAGTTCAAGAAAGCGTCCCTAAGCAGTACAGCAAACGTGCATAAATCCCATTGCTTAAAGTTAAGCACGTACTTAAGTACTTTCTTGGACAATGATGGGCTTAAGTGCATGCTTAGGTGCTTTCTTGAATCGGAGTCACAAAGAATAATAAATAAACCACTCATGCAACAATTCACTTTTCATTTTCTTTGTCTTGACAATGGATTTTCATCAGCAAATGCTGTTTATATGAGGATTGGGTTTTTTATTAATGGATACTTTTCTTTTTCAGACTTGAGTCTCCAACTAGATCTTTGATAATGGAAGCTCCCAGGGGAGTACAAGTTAGTGCAGCTGCAGGAGATTTAAAGGCAACGTGTAGGAAAGAATTGCACTTGCAGTCCACGGAAGGGGAGGTAAGCTCAGTCTGCAATGAAATACTATGCAGTTCTGTCCATCAAAAAAAGTAAATAATATAAAGAAACTATTTAAGTGATACTGTATGTAAGAATCAGGTGTATACGGTAAGAAATTCTCTGCAGCTGCCTGAATTTAAAAGTGGATTTACTCCAGCCTGGCTCATGAATTATTCTTTGTTTGCTTTCTAAAAAAACATGTGAATGGTTAAATTTTATTCACACCATTTCTCTTAGGAAAAAGAATGTTAACAATGTTAACATGGCTCCATGTCTAGTTGGCAGCCGGTTTCAAGCGGAGTGCCCCAAGGGTCGGTCCTGGGGCCAGTTTTGTTTAATATCTTTATTAATGATCTGGAGGATGGTGTGGACTGCACTCTCAGCAAGTTTGCAGATGACACTAAACTGGGAGGCGTGGTAGATACGCTGGAGGGTAGGGATCAGATACAGAGGGACCTAGACAAATTAGAGGATTGGGCCAAAAGAAACCTGATGAGGTTCAACAAGGACAAATGCAGAATCCTGCACTTAGGACGGAAGAATCCCATGCACTGCTACAGACTAGGGACCGAATGGCTAGGTAGCAGTTCTGCAGAAAAGGACCTAGGGCTCACAGTGGACGAGAAGCTGGATATGAGTCAACAGTGTGCTCTTGTTGCCAAGAAGGCTAATGGCATTTTGGGCTGTATAAGTAGGGGCATTGCCAGCAGATCGAGGAACGTGATCGTTCCCCTTTATTCGACATTGGTGAGGCCTCATCTGGAGTACTGTGTCCAGTTTTGGGCCCCACACTACAAGAAGGATGTGGAAATATTGGAAAGAGTCCAGCGGGGGCAACAAAAATGATTAGGGGTCTGGAGCACATGACTTATGAGGAGAGGCTGAGGGAACTGGGATTGTTTAGTCTCCAGAAGAGAAGAATGAGGGGGGATTTGATAGCTGCTTTCAACTACCTGAGGGGGGGTTCCAAAGAGGATGGAGCTCGGCTGTTCTTAGTGGTGGCAGATGACAGAACAAGGAGCAATGGTCTCAAGTTGCAGTGGGGGAGGGCTACGTTGGATATTAGGAAACACTATTTCACTAGCAGGGTGGTGAAGCACTGGAATGCTTTACCTAGGGAGGTGGTGGAATCTCCTTCCTTGGAGGTTTTTAAGGCCTGGCTTGACAAAGCCCTGGCTGGGATGATTTAGTTGGGAATTGGTCCTGCTTTGAGCAGGGAGTTGGACTAGATGACCTCCTGAGGTCCCTTCCAACCCTGATATTCTATGATTCTATGATTCTATGAAAATACAGATGTGAATATTTGCCCTAGAAATAGCATGGCGTAGAATGCTGCTTAACATAGCAGCAGAGGACAAGTTTCCCCTGGTACAGAGGCAGGTATGAGCTAGGATTTTGCATATATACACAATTACGTTGTGTGAATGTGCACAGAGAGAGTTAAATTGAAATTTTGGACCCAATCAATGAATCTTAAATTTGGAATGATATCTTGACAAGGCCTGAGAAAGGAAGAGGTGTTATATTTTCTAACTTTCCCCAATTCGGTTTAACTGCTCTCTCTCCTTAAATTGTTGTTGCCTCTCTTAGAGATTGAAAGCTCTACTTCAATGATATACCACACCATCCATGTGATATTTCAGTGATCAGTTCAGTATGAATAGATTTTTGGGGCAGGACTCTCCACTTGTGTGGTCATTTATACCTGTGCAAAGTGGGTATAAAATGCAACCAGAGCAAAATGAGAATCAGATCCTTGGTTTTGTTGTAACTCAGTTAATGTGTGATAGTGGTGACTGGAAGATTACGGGAATGAGAAGGAATCTTTTAATTTTCGTACCTAAAAATGAAATACACCTCTACCCAATATAACGCTGTCCTCGGGAACCAAAAAAACTTACCGTGTTATAGGTGAAACCGTGTTATATCGAACTTGCTTTGATCCACCGGAGTGCGCACCCCTGGCCCCCCAGAGCGCTGCTTTACCGCATTATATCTGAATTCGTGTTATATTGGGTCGCGTTATATCGGGGTAGAGGTGTAATATTAAGAAATCTTGGACAATAGCATCTTGAGAGCTCAGTTCCCAACTAGACAATTCAGTGAAGTGGCTAGATTTTCAGATTGTTCTTAGTGGGAATTGCTGGGTTCTAAGTACTTTTGAAAATCTGGCCACTTCATTTAGGTACCTAACTGAGAACTGAGCTCTTTTGAAAATCTGTCTCCTTGTGTTTATATATCACAGCTTCACCAAAGAATCCCAAATGTTTCACAAACTATACAAAATGAGTATAACAGCTTTGAAATATACCCACATCTGTGGTGATGGGTAGCCACCAACCATTACACAGCGTAGTGTATTACAATACATACAGGAATGTTGTGGCCAAGGACTCTGGGTCAGAGCTCTACTTTTATGAAAATTTTCAAGGGATCTTTAATTTCCATGCAGCATACTTAAAGCACAATGATAATTTTTCTGGCACTAAGCCTAGATTCTCCACTCTTGTTCTGTGCCTTCTTTTCAATTTTTCTCCAAAACCCACTTCTTCCCACAATCCCTTAAGAAGTTATTCTCATACTAGTGCAACCCTCAGAAAATCTCATTTAAAGAAAAGGAACTTATATGATGCATTTCAAATGACACAAGGAAAACAGCTGTTTTAGAGCAAAACTAAACCTTTAGGCTCAGCGTTCTGCAAAGGACAGCATGTAGCCAAAGGGACACCCTAAAGGTATGTCACAGTAACCATTTCTCCCATGATTCCCGCTAGCTGAGGGGTACCTAAGCTACTTCACTCTTTGGGGGCATAGCTTATTTCCCCACATATATGCTTCTTCCACTATTTCCACTGGTCATTGTGTCTGGGTGGAGGGAGTGAATTTGTGGCTCTGCCCACTCCCCATCCACTCCTCACCCATTCTTAGCACCTTCCCATCCACTTTCTTACAGTGGAGAATACAGGTTGTGCAGTTCTTCTCTCACGTCAGCAGCTGAGGAGGAGGAGAGGGCAAAAATAATGTGTCCTATGTGGCCATGTTAGGATTAGTGACTGTGACGGGTTGGATCACAGAAACCCCCTTGGGAGCTGCCACCCGATGTGCCAAGACTACCCCTGCTTCTGTTTTCCCTGCCAGCTTAGGGCTCCAGCACCCTGTCTTGCTGAGCCAGCAACTCCTGTCTGGCTCCAACACAGACTCAGGGTCTGAATCACTTGTCCCAAAACTGCAAGTTTACCCAAAAACAGCTCACAGGAGTGTGCTTGTCTTTAGCACTCAGATGCCCA